TCTTGACCCTCGGGTTGATGTGGCTGTCCAGGAACCCCTCGTGGGCCAGCCTGTTATTCATTTATTCGACATTGACGAAGATGATGGGACATTTTTGTCCATCAGACCCCCGCACTTTCTTCGATTGCCGCGTTGAAATGCTGCTCCGTTCCCATATCGCGTTCGAAACGGTCTGAGGATATTTTTTAAGGAATTCCCGAGTCGAAATAAACCTTTACCTGCTAAACCATTCATCGAAAAACGCCGCATCGCGCTGCAACTCGCGCCTCGTTCAAGTCGCACCCGGCCGCCGCGCGCAGGCATTCAGCGACAAGGCGCATCTTCGCCCATCTACCCATCACTGAAAACGATTTCAAGGTCATATTTACACGACCCCTGGCTGAGCAATCAACGAGGGGTCATGTCTGTGATGATTGGCTGAATGTCCAATAATCACAGCGCGCGTTACACGGGGTCCAAAAGAAGCGCCAGGACTTTCCGGACACCCTGTACATTGAATAACACATTATAATGATTATATTTTGACACAATGTAATAATATAAAGTGTCAATTTATAATAATAGAATTTGAAACATTGGTTAATTTTTAATGTGAACGATATGTACCGTACGCAACTGTTCAAAAGCAGCACACGCATCAATCAGCTGACGCCACATTCCCGGTGGCGCTGCTCACGGTGCACGCCTGCCTGTGGCTCATGGACTCGGAAAGAAAAGAAACGTGCAGACCTTGGACTGTCTTTCTTTCGATTCCCTAAAGATGCAGCCATCCGAGCAGCCTGGGTGCACAGGTGTGCTAGAAAAGACTTTTATCATCCGGAAACAGCATCTGTATGTTCCCTTCATTTTACTGTTGACGACTATGACCCTGGGGCTAGGACTAGGAGTTCTATAGCCTTGCTTGGTGAAAAGAAGCCAATGTGAAGCCAAAGCTGAAACCTGATGCGCGACTCCACCTACGCCTCAGATACCTGAACGGCAAACTGGATGCGGCGTGGGAGGAAAGACGGGCAGCCCAGCAAGTCCGCCAGAACGCCCGAGGCTCCGGACTTTAACCTGTGAGCTGCTGAGAGGGGGAGGGGGAGGGGCGTTAACACATCGCGCGTTGACATTCAACAAAATCTTAAAATTCAATTTTGGCAATTTCTCGTGACTTCTTCACGACCATGATACGTGTATTTCCCAAGCTGATCTTTTTTATCAAAGAAATACTTATTATAAAATTAGCGTCACCACAATCATTCTAAGCTCAAAAAGTATTTTGAAAAAAAAAACGTATCATGTGCTGCGAATGCCGGTCCCGTAGCCCAGTCGGTAGCAGGGTATGTAGAAGAACGGGTACACCAACGACACGGAAAGCGCCCATTTTACCTGGATGAGTTACATGGTAGGCTATATATTTTTCGAATATGGAAAAATAGAGTATTCGGTTCTGAAGAGTAAAGCCAAACTCATAAAGCAGTTATTTTTAAATCATATGTATGTACGAGAAATAACATACTAACCATAGTTTAACACTTAGTATAAAGTTAAATGAAAAGCGCATAGTTGATACTAAGATGGAAGGAGTTAATGGAAGGCAGAAATGGCGCAGCTGTTTCATACTAAAATGGGTTCGCAAGCTGGATTTACGTGACGTTGGCGACATCTATTTATGTAATCGGGGACGCTAATTGGCTGATCGAGTCCGTGAGCAGTATCGCTGACTTACGCTAGTACAGGGTTGAGGCTATGTGCGCATGCGCAGGAACTTGTGCTCTCATGGAGGGGCTTTTGGTACCTCGGGCAGCGCCCAATACTTTTTGGACCTGTTATGACCTCCGCATCGAAAAACGCTAGATAAAAAGGTTGTAGAGGAAGCGTGAGGCTACCTTTCCCCACAATAATATTGGCACTTTATCTTTTAGCTTACGTGTGGGGCTCGCCCGAAAAAGGTCAATTTAACATGCAAATCCTACGGGGTAGTAGTTTTTGAGCGCCCATTTGGCCTAATGGTACCAACTGTTACTGGCTACCCCTGGTTCGTAGAGCGTTGGACTCCGCGTGGTGAGAGCACGCGTTCCTGGTTGTAACAGTCCGTTTTTGCGCTTATTGGTCCTCGAGTTACCGTCGATAAATGTTTCGGAGAAACATAATGTGCTGCTCGTGTCGGGCGGCTAGGGTGTTCACCTTCAAGTGTTCAGTGAGGTCACGATAAACAAACGACACCCCGCGTACATGGGAGCGGGCACAGAGCCAAACCAGAAACTTCTCCTGCACACGTTCAATCCGCTGCATGTGTCCGCGCCGCTCCACTCCACACTACACTGCAGTACGTACTCCAGTATTGAGCGGACGTTGGCGTAGTACGTTGATAAAATGGCTGTGTTTTGACATGTCAAGCGAGTGTCCACGTTTTCCTGTCGCAAATGTCCGCATAAGTAGACCTAACGCTCTGTTAGCTATGCATACGGTGTACTCAACATGATCTCCAAACGTAAGCCTTTGGTCCAGAAGAACGCCCAGATCTGGAATTGGATTGGATTCGAATAGGGCTAATGTTAAAATGCCAGAATCAAGGGAGCACGATGCCCCCCGTTCCGCCGCGTATGTCGCCATCTGCACAAGAGGTTATCGATGTCGGGCGGCGTGTGGGGCGCCGCTAAGCTTATGGGGGTGCACTTCGACGTGACGGGGGTTCACTTTCAGGGGATGGGGATTGGGGATGCTCCTGCAACCCCATACAATTAGAAAGTTACACCGCTGCTCGTATGTAAATTTACTCCATTGTTCCCAATGAACTCGCACGCTTGCCTCGCTCACTTGTAAAATACCGTGCATTTTATGCACACTCCTCAGGCAAAAACATCAAATTTTTACAACAAATTTTCCACTTTTCCTCTAGTTCTAAGACCATGAAAGAGAAGCCCAACTGCAAAAGGGCCCGCTTGCAAGGGGAACCCATCGGACCACTGTGCCCCATCCCATCCAAAGTATCCAAGTAATCTGGCTTCGCCCCTGTCTGTGTGGTAGATAACCCTTAAGTCTAATTTTATTAATTTTTGATTTGGCTCATTTTAGGGCAATTGCCTAGTGTGGACCGACGGGCACATGCCAGAGGACGTGAGAAGATTCCTGCAAGACCAGCTGCAGGGCGACCCGGAGCAGGCTCAGCCGGGCGCAGACCCAGAGGCGTCCTCTACTGGACTTGAAGCTGACGACACAGATTGGGGTAAACTTTGATTTAGGCACACCGTTTCCAATGTCAAAAGCCAGTGCGTTCAATTTAACTCATAATGATCTTTTTTCACCCGATCATTCATCATCACCAGCCTAGTGAAGCAGTTGTTCCATCACGCTAACGAGTTTTCTTGCGACTGCTCACAACGCGTCACTTGGAAAGATATAAATAAAAGGCTGGGTAATGTCCAATAGCCTTTTTAACTTAAAAACACTTCATGTGTTTATTTATTGCCTAGGAAGTCACAATATTTTTTTTTTTGGCTCGTATGCTCGATGAATATACAGTATTTTTAGGTCGTATGCTCGGTAAATATTTATTTTGGGCGTTGCAACTTCATGCCATGATGGATTGTTTCAGTGACCCTGGAAGGCTACGTCATGTGCAGCTGCGGCTCGATAAAAAACAGAGAGCAGCTGCGCAAGCATATCTTCTATACCAAGAGCGAAAACGAGACGGCCCACACCTCCTACGTCGTCGCCCTCCGGGAGCATTTCCCGGATGTCCTGGTGCTCCGTGAGGGGCCTAAGAACGAGACGTAAGAATGCTTACATCTACTCTAAGATCCAATAAACAAACGACGTGCACAGAAAACTTAAAAATGAAGTAGGTAAATCTGAAGCAGAGATGTCAGTATTAGGCACATGATGGCGTCACCAAACACAATGTCTCTTTCGCAACATGAATTTGTCTCCGCCCAGGGTTTGCCCAGAGCTTTAACCCACGCCGTGGTAGGACGTTTTTACTTTCTCGCCCTCCCCTTTCAGAATATTCGCAGATGACTCAAAACGGCAACGCGACTCTCCACATTTTTGGCGCATGTCTCTAAGACGCTCAGAGGCTGACTGAAGAGAGGTGGGCGCAAAAACGCTCCTAGCACTCCATGAAAAACGCCCACCACCAGCACGGCGCGGGTTAAGATCACCAGTTTGTCCTGAACTCTCCAATAAGCATGTTTTGGGAAAACATATTTCTTACTTAATTGCGTCATTACAGAACACTGACATGTCCGGCGCCCGCCTGCGACTACAAGGCTCGCTCTGACACCTGGCGGAAAGCGAGCGCCGCGCTGGGCGCCCATGTAAAGCGCCATCATCCGGGCCTACCGAGGGACTACCTGAAACGTAGAAATAACACGAGCGTGGTAAGTGACGTGTCCCGTACGGCTAAGCAGTTAAGCACGCACAGCACCATCTCAATTCAACACAGCATGTTGAAAGTAGAATATTTTCTTGAGCTTTCTTCATGGACGGATAATATGACAATATAATAACCGTAATATAATAATAACGGATATAATAATATGTTCGATATTTGAGGTCTGAATGAGAAAATGTTTAATGGTTATTTATTTACGGCGATGCGTAGCCAGGACACCGGAGGCCGCGGCAGCTCTGGGGCTCCTGCTATGGCGGGGAGCCGAGCCGAGGGCTGCCGCCGCCACCGCCACAGCTCCGCTGGCAGCGCCCGGCCCAGCCGCCACCGCCACAGCTCCGCCGGCAGCGCCCGGCCCCGCTGCTCCACCCGGCCCCGCCGCCACCTTTATGCCAGCTTACCGGCCTGCCTTTGACCACCGGGTGGTGAAAGTGAGCACCGAACCAAAAAATATTATCGCACGCTGTCTCACATCACCGATGTTTTATTGTTTTAGCCTATTTGCCATTTTTTGGAATTAATCGCTTTGAAAGTCGCGAAACGAACAAATGGAAGAAATTAAATAACCTGCAAACCAATCCTTTCGTAAAGTACCCATAAGCCCGTTTCCACCTTTCCTTCATATCCTGTATTCCTTTTGCCTTTCCAAGGCGGCGGACATCAACAAACAATATGCCGCCGTATTAACCACGGTGGTCAGAGAGGCCGGCATGGCTCTGGGGCCGGACAGCGACACGCCGGACTGGCGCCACATTGTGGCCGACCCCGAGAAGGTGGTGAAGGTGAGGAGATGTATAAGCACACTTATGTGCACTTTTCAATGCTTATGTTGGTACACACTTATGCACACTAATGTAAATCATTTGGAGGAGTACGGCCTGGAGGTTGAAAAGCGAGCGGTAGTGATATCGCAATAACGTGTTTATCTTCGCTAAATTTAATGTGATCTTACAAGTATGCTAAACCAACCTAAACCACTTAAGTATAGGTATTACGTATACCCTATTACGTATCCACCCGCGCCGCGCTGGCGGTGGGAGAGGTAAAAACGAATCCTCCAGTTTTAGTTTAAAAAAAGCAGAAGCTATCCACTTGATGCTCACTATATCCCATCCCCAATAAATCTTTATAAATGGATTAGCAATCCTGTTACAAACTGATTTTTCCATTTTTTTTTCAACAGGACATGGACGTCATACGGGAGACGTTTTACACCAAGGTCCCCACCGCCCATCTACGCGCCGCAGCACTGAGTTCTTGGCTGCGCTATTGTTCCGGCGCAACGCTGGAGCACGCCGAGTGTCTTGATCGCCCAACGATTTCAGGCGACAAGGGACCTTGTGCAGCACACCATAAAGGCGCACAAACGAAGTAAGACTAAATCCCTCGTCTTATTTTACGCACATTTTCATGTCTCGTCGAGACGCGTCCAATGGAAACACGCACTAGTGACGCCGATTCCGAAGGGGAGCGGACTCTCGAAACCAACCAATACGCGGCCAATCTCTATCCTGCCTGCAGCGATGAAAATTACTGAGAGTTGTTCAGCGCCAGCTTGTGCAATACCTTGAGGCGAACAGACTCTTGTCAAACACCCAGCATGGCTACAGAAGCGGTCACAGCACTGAAACGGCCCTCAGTGTGATATCTGACCGCGTCCTCCGGGCAATGGATGCCGGAGAGATATCTGTGCTGGTCCTGCTAGACCTGTCCAAATGCTTCGATGTGGTGCCGCACCAGCAACTCCTGGACAAACTCGCGCTGTACGGTGTAGATACAGAGCGGTTCGCGGACTATCTAAGCGGTCACACGCAGCAGGTGCAGACGCCCGGTGGCACAAGAGGCGAGCACTTGCGATCTAGAGTGAAGCCCAACACCATTGGTGTTTTCAGGGCGGATCACTCGGCTGCACTAGTAAACGACATGAGTCTGTACCTCCCCGAAAACATCCATGTCGTGCAGTTCGCAGATGACACTCAGCTGCTTGTCAGTGGCACGAAGAGTGATCTACCACAGATCATTGATGGTATTGAACAAGCTGTCGACCGTCTGTATGCATGGTTTTGTACCAACTGTATGAAACTCAACGCGGACAAAACACAGGTTCTAGTGCTTGGTACTCCAGCTATGTTGCGAGGACTGCCACCAATCGCAATCAGTCATGGGCGCTATCATACCTGACTCGAGAGTAGTTAACTAGGAGTTATTATGGACAGCCACATGAGCTTCACAGCTCACGTAGATCATCTGACCGCCAAATGCACTGGGATACTGATTGGGTTGTTGCATGCAAAGCATGTCATGCCTGCCGACTCTCTGTCAATCATCGTTCAAGCTCTCGTGAACTCGGTCATTAGGTACTGCATGTCAGTGTACGGAAATTGTGGGGAAACAAAGCTGAACAGAATTCAAAAACTGCTGAATTTTGGCGCCCGAGTCATCAGCGGCCGCCGAAAATTTGATCACATTCACGATGTACTTCGCGACTTGCATTGGCTGGATATCCACACCACCTTGTCAAGTATCATCGGATTTGCATGCTGCATTCCAAGTGCATTCTGTCGTCACTACAGGAAGACCAGAAGCTATTGCGAGCACGATTGGGCACACAGCAGAGCACACGTACCAGACGCGTACTGTAGGCCACCATGCGTTGCCCGGGATACGCCTGAGGCGGGACGTCGACGCCTGTGCTATGACGCTGTCAGAGACTACGATCGTCTGCCGTTCCGTGTCGACGCGAGAGGCTTTAGGCGCTGCCTGCGACGGCATCTCTTGAGAGAGCAAAATGGTTGTGGGTAGAGTAAGTGGATCTTGGCCTGTCAATACTGCCTATAAGCCTGTACCATTCTTATTTTATCAAAATGACGAGTGGCAATGAAAACCCATGCTTTATGGATTTGTCGTAAATAAAGAATCTGAATATGAATCTGAATGATTTATCATCTGACCTTGAACGGTCTTAAAAAATATATCAGGTCTAGGTCATGACCTGGCCGGAAACGGTCATGTTACATATCAATCGATCCGTATCGTCAAGCTGAACACATCTGAGGTCTTTTCATTGCTCTAGCATGTCTCCATCACAAGTAATTGTTTAAAGAAAACCTTAAGAGCTTTCATGACCTGATATGACCTCAGGGTCATAAGGAGAGGTCACGGGTGCGATTTTTTGGTTCATAGGCCAGTTTTACCAAAAAATACCAGCCGGCCGCTGCAATAAAATATCCAGCCGAAAAAATAGACGCCACACAGCCACGAGTTTCACCAACAAAAAAAAATTCCAGCCGACTTCGGACGAAAATTATACCCTGTTACGATATCATTACGGTATGTCAAGGAGGTTAATAAATCATTTAAAGCATGTTTTCAATTAAATTGAAGCGTGATTTCTAATGCAAATGCTATATAAATTTCTAAATAATATTATTGTAAATTATTTCATATATTTTCAAGAGTAATAACAACAAAGTAGAGCATTATAAACTTTCATATCTATATTAACATTCTGGTGCCCAGCAAAAGCCAATACAATACAAGACTACCAAATTGTAAACGTACGTCATTTATAAAGGTGACGTAAGGAATCTTGCATTGAAGGTGGATCTTTTTTCCTGTCAGCCTATTATATACATTTTTATAATACCTTCAACTTGCTATTAATCTTTTTGTCTGTTTTTAGTCGCACCTTGTAGAAAATCATCGTGAAGACCGTGAACGCAATGTGTGGACCTCCAGCTATGATAGTAGATGGGACCCACTCCAGCGGCGGCGGAACACCTTCAATTAAGGGAGCACTGCTGACTTTTGGTCCCATTCTTTCCATGCAACGCCCATAGGGCTGTTAAAATGTCAAAATCAAGGGGGGCACGGCCACGGTGCCCCGGTGCCCTACCCGTTCCGCCGCTTATGAGTCCCGCTCCCGACAGATCCGGGAGCCGCACCTCTCCTAGCTTTCAAAAGAGCGGCAAAGAAGCGGCCAACATTGCTCCCAGAGGCGCCACCTGAAGCTGGACGGACAGTTCCGGCCCCCGCCGAAGTCAGTTGGTAGCACTGCTGCTCCACGGCGTACATTTCCTACCAGCCCATAGGGTTTACATGTTAAATGGCCTGTTTTCGGCGAGCGATATCTCGGTCAACCTTTGAAGGAATCAATGGTTCTTAGTCTCAAATGATAGATCGATGAATTTTCTTTCGACAATTTATCTACCATTTTCCACGAAACCCAGCCGATCTTCTACGGAGTACAGGGTTAAGATTTCTCTGCACGCCAGCACCCGCGATCCGCCTCTCCGATCGTCGGCGCGCGGTCATCGGTAGCGCAGACGGTAGCGTATCGGGCTACGGATCCGAGGGTCGTGAGTTCTAATCCTGGGAGCGCCGCGTGATTTTGGCTAGAATTGAATGATGTAGAATGTAGATTCTTGAATGTTTGCATCAGGGGGCGTCGAAGTCTAGTAGGAAAATCTGGCAATCCCCGGCGTGACGTAACGTCGGGGATGACCGACGGCACCTTGCACTGAAAGATACGGCAGAACGGCTATTTTTGAAAAATGATTAAAAATACTTGGGTGCTGTTATGACACATTAAACGCTTATCTTCATGTTCCTCATCATGTGATGAAGCCATATCCGTGGTCGAAAATAGCCGAGCCCCTCCCAATTTTCAAACATCGACCTTATAAGCAAAGGATGTAAGCGTAATCCTTAAAGGGACTATCCCACCTTCTAAAATGTTGTTAAAACCGGTTAAATTGTGCCCGACTTTATAGATTGGATGACCAGGAACACGTTTCTGGCATTAATTCTTCATTAAAGGTAGTGTGCCACCTTTGAAAGATTTCCCGTTTTATTTTTCCTAGGATAAGAAGATTCTGTTTTTACCTAATATCGCAAAAAAATCAAAAATGGGCCTGGAATAGTGCCTTTTTCGCCTAAAAGTTTATCGGTTTTTAGATATGTATAACAACTGTAGTGGGCTCACCTGCAAACAGGCGTCGGGCAACAATCGCGAATGCGGCGCACTTGTGACAATAAGCAAAGGTCATTATAGTGTTACGACCATACGACGTACAAGAATGAGTTATCAGCTGTCTAATCGTAGACAACACAATGTCGAGCCTTAAACTGTAAGCCTGTATTGGTATTGTTTCTTAACTTTGGCTGTCGAACATTAATTTGTGGTCTGAAATATGATTTTATGTAAAATAATTGATATGAAACAGCCGTCTCTTAAGTTATGACCCCATTACACCACACGCAAGTGGCAGAAATGACAATGATCAGCTGACGCATTTTTCTTGGCCGAAGTCAGAGCGCGCGGCCCGACGCACCACGCGTATTTGGAAATTCCGACCTCGACGAGCATCAGAAGCCACCTAACAGGCGTGTTCGAAACCGCAGATGATGATGAACGGGTTTATCGAAACTTGATTGGATGAGCCTATCGGTAATAGCGATTTTAGTGTGCATTTATTGTTCATAGTGGTGTGAAATGTGGTTGGGGTACGACCGACAACCCGTCGGGGCGAATTTCGCACTGGGGTACTCAAAATTTGAAGAATTTAAGACGTTTCCATAAGTTTTGAAGGTATGGATAAGTTCTAAAAATCCGGTTCTCCTTATCCGGGTCATTAACTCCATATGGTCCAAGAAAGCTGGCACACTACCTTTAAACATCTTAGGCTTCCCATATTCCAAACACAAACTTTCAAATATGTGACGTCACAGCCCAAAAATTACCTCCTTCCCCAGGCCACATTACTGTCATAAAGCTGATTCTTTTTACTCTGTAGGCACCACAACAAAGTTCAGACCAAGTTTTAAGCGATTTTTCAACGAACAAACCCATTTAAATCAGAATGACTAAACGAGGTGACGTCACACTAACGGTCGCTCCATGTTGAAGATAGGGCCTTGTACAAGGCCCATTTTCAAATGAAGGGAACGAATTTCTTCAACACCAAGAGGCCGCGGGGGTTGCAACCTAGATAGATAGTGGTTTCTGAACCTCGCCGCAAACTTGGCTATCTCAACTCAAACCCCATGTTAAAGGGACTATCCCACCTTTAACATGGGGTTTGAGTTGAGATAGCCAAGTTTGCGGCGAGGTTCAGAAACCACTATCTATCTAGGTTGCAACCCCCGCGGCCTCTTGGTGTTGAAGAAATTCGTTCCCTTCATTTGAAAATGGGCCTTGCGCAAGGCCCTATCTTCAACATGGAGCGACCGTTAGTGTGACGTCACCTCGTTTAGTCATTCTGATTTAGATGGGTTTGTTCGTTGAAAAATCGCTTAAAACTTGGTCTGAACTTTGTTGTGGTGCCTACAGAGTAAAAAGAATCAGCTTTATGACATTAATGTGGTCTGGGGAAGGAGGTAATTTTGGGCTGTGACGTCACATATTTGAAAGTTTGTGTTTGGAATATGGGAAGCCTAAGATGTTTAATGAAAAATAAATGCCAGAACCGTGTTCCTGGTGATCCAATCTATAAAGTCGGGCACAATTTAACTGGTTTTAACAACATTTTAGAAGGTGGGATAGTCCCTTTAAAGGTGGGATAGTCCCTTTAAGGGCGACTTTCCCTTACATATCTGTACATATGCGTCCTTATGGAAATCGGTAGTGTGGCTATAAGCGACGCGCGCGACATCTGTGGGGCGACTGTGGCGACACCTGGTGGCTGCTTTTCTGCTGTATGTAGGTATTGGGGTTTTGCCAGATATAGCTCCTACTGCTACACCACTATGTTGACCCAATACTAGAAAGTTATTTTGCCCGTAAATGGCAAGAAAATTAAAAGTTTATTTATAAAATTTCTTATAAATATTTACGAGATAATAATGAAGAAGTTTTGATTGATTAATTATTTAAATATTCAACCGTGAAACTATATTCTGGTAGGTTTAGTAGAAATTAGTCCGTGCAACCTTGTATTTTGGGCCTTGGTTTGCATAATCAATTATTAATAGCTAATTGAATGTAGCTGCCCACTAATCTGCCCCCAAAACCTGTTAAGAAATTTAAGAAATGAACGTCACGTGCGCGTCACGACTGCCCACCATAAGCGCTACCATATTCTAGTTTGAACTGACTTTTTGCTAGTCCCGACCACATATAGTAGGTTTGCTAGTAGTTATACTAGAAATTCCTACCAAAGTTCGTCCTACCCATCACTCAATATACCCTGGGACAGTTCCGCTGCCGAGCGATAGAACTGCGGTGCTACGAGTCGGCTTCGCGTGCACTGCATTAGCACCTTCTAGCGGGAGTAAGAGGGCTAACGATCTCGCCGAGGCCTATATAAAGCATTGTGCCAAGGAGAGTGTCTTACCTTAGGAGAATACCTACCCAGATTAACTGCACCACGGTCATTGCAGGGCTGAGTTTGAAAGGTGTACAATTTTGTAGGATACGGGTTTCATTGGCTACATGTTGTCGTGAGATCCATACAGATCATAGGTCCTCCACAAATTTTTGCCCGCTAGATCCACAGAGATCATAGATCCTACCCCTAAATTTTGTCGAGAGATCCATTCGGATCATAGATCCAACCCCTGAATTTTGTCGAGATATCCACTCTGATCATAGATCCAACCCCTCTATTTTGTTGAGAGATCCACTGAGATCATAGATCCAGCTCTCGGATCCATGCACATGTCTGCTAACTGGGCCGTCATCCAATGCTAAAACTACAGCGTGCGGCAGGGAAAAGGCGAAGCGAGAAATGATTCATCTGGGAATTATCAATTGCTTCCAAAATACAGAAAAAAAACATGGTGCCACTGTGTCAACGAACTTTTGGGACACCCTATTACTAACAGTTATCGATGTTTGGGACACCCTATTACTAACAGTTATCGATGGTTACGGTGCCTTCAAAATGTATACCCATTCATACTTTATTTCTTCCAGGCCGATGTGGGGCGAGAGGAGAGATCCGATGACGATGACGCCCCGGACGCCATCAACCCCACGCGACGCCAGCTGCTCAACGTCCCCTCAACGTCCCGAACGCGGCGCCAGCTGAGGACGACGGCCGGCCGATACCACGGCCACCACGGCCGACAAAGGTCGTGGTGGAGGGCCGAGGAGCTGGCGGTGGTCGCCGACTTCGCGGCGAACCCCTCCAAAAGGTTCCGCGACATCGGGGAGCTGGCGGCGGCCCTGCCAGGACGCTCATCAGGAGCAGCTTGGCTCAAAGTGAGCGAACTGAGGAACAAAATGGGGCCAGTGTGATGGCCGCCACCATCAAAGCCGCCATCGTCGCCGTCCCGGTCGTTTTGTACCTCACTGAGCCGCACGGGAAGTGTGAGAGACTGGGTGAGAGCGAGTGGGAGTGAGCGCGTGCTGCGCCGGCGGTGCGCGGGCGTCGTGACCTCCGAGTTTCTGTGGGCCGCGCCGGCGACTCGAGCTGTTCATTCTTGTGTTTGTGATATGTTGTAGAGTGTGTGGTGGCGATTTCGTGTCGCTAAGCTCGGCGAGCCGGGCGTCAGCGGTAGTTTTGTCTGCATGTCTTGTGTTTGTCGGCGGTAATTTTGAACCGCGGGCCCGCAGAGCTGGCGGGCAGGCGGGACAGTGAGCGACGAACGGACGGTCTGAACGGCGCAGCACGGACGCTGGGATCTGCGACGTGTGGTCTTAGAGCGTAACGGTGGATGTGTCAGTGTGAGTGCGTCCCCTGCACCGCGCCGGGGCGGTTCCAGCGCCACTCCGTGCTTGGCGTCGCAAGGCTCAGCGAGCCGGCCGCAGTGCACTCTTAGAGCTGTTTACGAGCCGCAGGGAGCATAGCCCGGGCCACATGCCACAAGGACCTAGGCTTTTCGACGGCGGTTCATTTTTTTGGATGCTGAAATATACGTTAGCAGTGTTAAAAAAATGGGAAAATGAAGTTTGTTTAGAGACTAGCTTTATAAGAAATTAAAAATTAACTGTCGAACAGGCTAACTATCTATACCAGAACTTGATCACGCTTTTGGCAAAGTTGGCAAGCAAGACTGGTCATTGGATAACCTTCTTAGGCAGTCTGTCTTTCATTCCTGTGGACGTCAAGGCCGGGACAATACAAAGTCGGCTACAAAACGAACATCCATAGGCATAGATCAACAGAACATGGGCTGCTTGCGCTCGTAGGTATCAACGTAAAAGCAAAACAAGCAGTCAGCTTCAAAACAAAATACCCAAACCATACATAGGTACAAACCAGATACAGGTATTCTCCAGCCCAGTGACTACTGAGTATATACCTGAAGCATTAGAAGTGCTCTTCAGTCCTCGCTAGCCTCACCAGGTGTGAGTAAAATTGTTTTAATTTGCATTTTAATTTCTTTATTTCTTTCAGAAAATGACCTTAACTCAGCTTATGTGGGAAAAGGTCATATTCTCCCTTTAAATCTAAGCCAAAACAATATCCAACAACTGTTGTATATAAAACAATGTCCTTTTATAAGTTTCTTCGAGTGCTTCTTGTGTGCGCCCCCAAATGATCCACCGCCAAACAGCTATTCAAAACAACTCAACCTCGATTTTACGTAGCTTTTCATCTGGAATTCGTTTCGACAGAGGTTATCGTCGTCTGTAAATTTGCTAGCTAGGTATTTTAATGGTTACCTAGCTAGTTATTGTATTCAGTAAAACCTAGGTATTTTGTTACCAGAAGCCTTGGATCACCGTATAATGGGTGGCAGAGCAGTTCGTAAATAGGTTCAGAATGGGGGAGCTTTTGAAGTCACAAGAAAGTAGGGGAGAGTGGGGCACATTCGTGCATGGGGCACATTCGTTTTCAGCAGTTTATGGGAACACGAGTGACTGCACGAGCTCAAGGTAAATTATGGAAATATGTCTATCATTGCCGCCCTTCGTTCACCGTAGAAGACAACACTGTACCTGCTGTCATGCTTGATAAAAACGCAAATTTGTAATATTCGTGAGCTTTCCAAACTTTTCTCATATTATCCATTTTCGTGATCCTGACTCGGAAATGTAGTTCAGCTTTTCAAAATTGGGGGTGAAGAAGCTCACTCTATTCACGGAACTGCTGCAAACCTGTTTGTTGAAAAAGTGTCATTTTTTTCAAAAAGAAATTTTGAAATATATTACTAATAACGTTGTGGGGCAGGTTCGTGTACGCACTGCCTGGGGGCACATTCGTGCATATTTTTTTTTAGTTTTTGCGATTTATGACTTTATCTGTAGTAGGTTTCTCTAATGACGCTCGCCTGACTCAGTCTCGACTGCTTGCGACGTCGTGACGAGCAATTCACGCGAACTTGGCGAGGTCACGGAGGCCGGCAGTTGGCACATTCTTGTTGGCCAGCCCATTCTTTCTACATATGTTGTGCAATGCATTCTTGTCGAAAGGAATCAAGTGAAATGACCCCCTGCCAATTTCCTTTGGTAAATTTCTGGTAATGCCCGGTAATTTCTCGAACTTTGCAGGGTGAACGGAAGTGCCCCACCTCTTGAACGAATGTGCCCCATAGGTGGGGCAGTTTCGTGCAAATGTTCAGAGTTATTAACCCTATTAGTGGCAGGGGGGGTTGTTTTTATCCACCCCTCAGGTTTTTCGGGAATATCTCCGAAACCGCTGAAGCTACGATGCTGAAATTTTCTGACTTTTCCTAAAACTAAATTGGGCTTATTCCCTGAAAATTTCAAGTTCATAACTTTATCAGGGGCGGCTCCAGAGCACTGGGAATTGGGGGTCCTATTCGTGAAGCGAGTCATTTGGGCGAAGATCATGATGCTGCACCAGTTTTACGAACAGTGAATGAAAGGTATCATGTGATAACATATACAGTTATTGTGCATCCTCTTTTGACACGTTTTTGCTATAATAGGCGGATCCAGGCGTCCAAAAAGGGGGGTTATGTTTTACCTCCCAACATAGGTGCCCTGACACCGCCTATGCATGACCAATACAATTGTAGTCGTTCTCTCATAAGAAAATTGTAACATAACAAGACCATTACCACCCTTTTTAGAAGCAGTACCAACAAAAACCTTATTTACTATACTTTTTGTGTACCCCCAATCTCAATGATCTGTATCCGCCTATGATTTTTGAAAATGCATATTTTTAGGATCCATGTGAATTCCTGGTTCATTCTCTATCGATCGGCAAAAGTTGCGTTAGGATTGGTTCAGAAACCTGGCCGTGATAAACAGTCTAAAATGTATCTGCAATTTGCCCGTTTTTACCCCCCTCTACCCCCCCTGTTGACATTTTTTAATTTTTATTTTTTAGAAATGTAGATCACGTTGAGCGAAATCGAATGCCGTTTGAATTTTGAAAATCGGCCCGTTAGATCTCGAGATATCAAGGGGGGGTCGTAAACAGCCCCCCCCCCTGCCACTAATAGGGGTATACCAGGAGCCTGCCACTAATAGGGTTAAAAGTCATTTTTTCTAATGGAAGCAATAATTTTAGAGGATAACTTTTAAAGAGGAAAACTATCTGCAATAGTTCCTTTCCATACTACAATCAGCAATTTTGCCATTGCACTAACCAAAGAACAGATATATGGGTTTATCCATTTTTTGCACGGATGTGCCCCACTCTCCCCTACAACGGGACAAACCTCACACAGCCTTGCGAGGAAATGCAAATCCTTTCCTCTCCTAGCTGGTTCAACCCCAGTCAAGCCTAGTGATAACATGTTGCATGCCTGCCTTTCCCATCTCGCAACAGACATGGCCTCAGCAGGCTCCCTCCCCGTGAGTGAGACAGCTTAGGTGCCCCTCCCCCCGGACAGGTCAACCCGCTCACGACCAGCGAGAGCGAGATCCTGGGCCAATGAAGCTTTATCAGAGCATCGCATCGCAACACACGGCGACATTGCGACAACCGGGCTGCCCCCTGCACCCTGCACCTCATCCCCAGCTTCCAGCGCGCCGCATTCCGCGGGCCGCCCGGTCACGTGATCGAGCTGGGAGTGACGTCAGCGCGCCGCTATCACGGCAGGCGGGCGGCCGGCCGGCAGCGGCGCTGGTGGGTGCGGGCCGCGCGAGTCAGATCGAGTCAGCCGCGTGCGACAGTGTTGCTCGGGGCTGATCAGTGACCGCTGCAGTCGTAACGAGCTAGTTGACGCTAGTCGGAGCTGGTCTTGCAGGGCGGTGGTGACGCCGTCAGCCGCTGTTTCAATTGGACGGCTGAGCAGGATTTGTGCTGGAACTGCGCCTTGGAACTAACCAGTGCTGCTCTTGTGCTGCCAAATCGTCATTTAGTAGAAGCGGTGGTGTTGAGGAAGAAAAGCACTGAGTCCAACAATCACAGGTCCAACAATCAAGTAAGTGTGCTATGTGTTTCAGCCCATATGAACAGGTGCTTCGGCTCAGTCACGGGGGTGGAGTACCGTGTTCATTATTGCATGCAGCGAACAAATGAAGAGATGCAAATGCGCGCAATGCACGTTTGCGATTTGCAAATGACGGAGCTTTTCTGGAACTCGGTTCGACCTCTGTCTTGCCGGCGGTAGCCAAGCCATGGTTCTGAGCCGTTTGCAATCACCCTACGCTTGACTGGCGAATCCGTTTCCGCCCGGGCGGGCATGCGGTGCGGTATGCAACATTGCGTGCCATCCTCCCATCGACCGTGAAGTGGTGCTCAGAGGGGCCTTTGATCTGCTAGGGAGTGTGATGACAGCTGAGCCTCACCTGACATGGATTAGGATAATACGATGTGTGTTGTACCGGTTACCGTTGTTGGAATTGGTAGGACATGAGTCATGGTTGTCTTCGTGGTCTAGCTGCAGTGTGATAGATGTGCCCCGCCCACTGCAGTGGCTGTGGGCAGCGCCGCGCTGGTGGCCGGGCCCAGGCGGCTGACGCGTTATCTGTTGACACAGTTGATAGGATCATCTGTTCATTGTTTGTTGTTCATAGCACAACGGCTTTCATTTTGACCGTTCGTCATGCATGTGACGGCGATCTTACTTCTTAGTGCTGACACAAGGAGGAGACGCGACTCTGAGACCGGCGATTCCGCCCCCAACCTTGACCAGCCGGGACCATCGGGACTCCCTCCCCCGGTGACCCGCGAGACCGATAGCGAGTCGGACGACTCTGATGGTCCACCGACCTTTTCTCTCGCACACACTCATTTGATGGATTATGACGAGGCCAAACGGTTTGACTGGGTCGTCTTTGATGACACAGAGAGAGACCCTAACTTTCACGACTCGGATGCGTCGTCCGAGTGCTCAAAGAGCAAAAGTCCTCCACAAAACTCACGCCGAGCGCCTCCCCGTGAGGCGGGTCCTCCCGCCGGCACCAGTCCCGCCGAGGCCGGGCCAGTCACAGACTGAGTGCCCCCGTCGGACTGGACGGTAAAACGGGGATGGCTGTGGTGCCCTAAATCATCAAGGGGTTTCAGCAGACGATCGCTATCGCATCATGTCCGTTTCTGCCGGTCCTGCCCCCTGGACCTCGAGCGCAAGGCGCTAGCCGAGGTCCAGACGTGGCAGGCGCCGATGGCCGAGGAGCAGATCACATGCTCCTGTGACACAGTCATACGAAAAACCGAGAAATACGGCCTGCGAAAGTGCGTGCAGCGGCACGTAAAAAACACAAAGGCGCACAAAGGCGAAAACGTAACATCGACGACCGACACGGTGCTAAGCAGCGCGTACAAAACTGTGTCGACATCCAAGGGCACCGCAGCGACCACCGGCTTTCCGCGTGTCATACAGACGAAACCGTCACCGCCACCGTCACCGTCGCGGTCACCACGTCGCGCCCCGAGCTGTGACCCCGAAACTGCTGGTGGAGCTCGCGCCTCCGCCAGCACCGGTACCTCGGGCGGGAGTCGGGACGCGGTTT